CCATTTTGTATTGCTAACATACACCCTGCCCAAGTGTCCTTAGAGGCATCCGTTTGAATTATTAGAAAATCGTTTTCACAAGGGTTATATAATTTTGGTAAATGCTGACATTTTTCCTTCATTAATAAAACTATTTTTGTATCTTGATCATTCCATGACCAAGGGATTTTGTCAGAAATCTTTTTCTGTAAATGTTTTCTTTCTTTTGCTAAATCTTTTAAAAATCCTTGTTCGCTTATATAATTTAAGCATCCAAGAAAACGTTGAATTTGTTTTCTATTTTCAAGTTGGTTTGGGAATTTATCGATTTTTTCTTTAGTGTTTGGTGACAACTCAATTTCACCCAAATTATTAATCTTCATACCAAGATATTCAATTTCTCTTTGAAGAAGTTTTGATTTCTTCTTAGAGATAATTAGACCTTTTTCTTTTATTCTCTCTAAAACTATCAAGATTTTTTCACGATGGTCTTCTTCTGATTGATTTGTGAAAATAATGATATCATCAATGTATGCCAAACAGAACGATTGAGAACCTTCTAATACATGATCCATAAACCGTTGGTAAATAGCTGGTGCTTGTTTCATTCCAAAAGGGAGAACATTCCATTCGTAATGTTTTTGTGGTGGACATGAAAAGGCTGTTAAAGGTTTGGTATTCTCATGTAGACGAAGTTGCCAATATCCAGATTTAGCATCTAAACTACTAAACCACGTTTGGCCTTTTAATCTTTCTAATATATAGTCTTTCCTAGGTAGTTTATAGCTATCTCCTATTGTTTGTTCGTTTAGTTTTTTATAGTTTATTACCATTCTTCTTTTTCCTCTTTTGATTTCATTATTATTTTCTACATAAAAGGCTGGTGCACTGTGAGGACTTTTACTTTCTCGTATTATTCCTTTTTCAGCTAACTCTGAACATTCCTTTTGGAATTCTTCTACATCTCGTTGGGTATATTGAATTTTGTTAGGGACATTAACTTCCATTTTAGGATCTTTTAGTTTAATTTCGATAAGTTCTTGATTGGTATTTTTATCTTTATCTAAAGGATGTTCACTACACACCTGGTCTAAAGTATCCTCTAGAATGCTATAAGTAATCTGTATATATTCTAGTCTATTTTTGAGGTTTTGAAGCACAATTTTTAGCACTTCATTTTTTGTGATTATTCTTGTTGTGATTATCTTAGATTCCTGGTCTATTGTTTTAGGACATCTAAGGCTGATTGTTCTAATCCTTTGAATAAATGGTTGATATAATTTTAGAAAGTTATTTCCTATTATTATATCTAGTCCTGAGTCATGTTGATAGATTGTTTTAGCTGTGAAGATATGTTTTTCAATGATTATTGGTACATATTGTTTTACATACCAAATTTCATGGATAGATTTGTCTGCCACTATAATTTTTAAAGGTTTTTCAAGTTTATCCCATTTTTTTATGGTTGATTTTTTGGCAAAACATAAGGTTGTCCCTGTATTAATATATGCTAAGAAACTTTTCTTCTCTATTTCTATTTTAATAAATGTTGCGTTAGGATTGCCCTTAGTTAAAACCTTCTTCTGACTCATCTGAAGAGGTTTCTGAGGTTGAAATATATTCAATAATTTCTATATCGGATAGTTCAAAATCTGTTTCTTCGATTGGTTCAAAACCACAATCGTAAGCTAATCTAAGGACTTCTTGTTTTCTAGTGTTAGTATTTTTCTTAGGACATCTATTTGCGTAATGTCCTTCTTCGTTACATAACCAACATCTACAATTTGTTTTTCCTTTAGGACAGTATTCTTGTTGTCTTGATTTTTGTTTAAACTGTTTTCTATTTCTGAAATATTTATTCGGTTTTCTAAACCTATTTTTTCTATATTCCTTGTAAGGTATTTTTCTCCATTTTTTATAATTTCTATATTTTTTCCGAGTTTTAATGATCTTACGATCATCATTACACCCATACTTTCCAACTCTGTCCATTGTTTGTTCACAACAGAGTTTAATTTTAGCTTCTTTCTTTAGTTTTTCCTTATTGCAAGCTTGTTTATGCCATTCTTGTAAAACTAATATTCGTCCTCCTAATGTATTTGGTATCTCTTCTCTAGCCAAAGTTTCATTAAAGGTAGCTTCAACTTTTTCAGAGACATTAGGTGGTAATTTAGCATAGAGTAATTTATCCATCTCTTTTCTTATCGAAGGGGTGACTTGATAATAATGTGTTCTGAATTCACAAATAAATGGTTCTAAGAAGCACATGTTGCAAATTCTAAGATTAGTTAAATGCCAAATAGCTTGTTGACTTATGGTTGTGTTTGGTTTATCTTCTCGAGGATGTCGTCCTAAGAATTCATGAGTTATTGCATTTAAGACTTTTTCAAAGGTATTCGTCGCATCCGTTGTTCCATATAACGTTGTCTTAGTAGGAATATCCATGTTGTTAAGATAATGATAAACTGCCCCAGTTGTTTTATATATTAAGAAATTAAACATTTCATTAGGGTGCAATTTCTTTAGATCTTCATTAGTTTGTATTAGTAATCCTGTTCGATTTTTCCAGTCTTCTAATTCTTTTAATGGGTTGACGCAACAATCAAGATCTAATATATCAGGATTGTTAAAACTAGTGGTGGAATATTTTGGTATGTAAGATTGAGGTATTTTACTCCATCCTCCCCCTTTGCGAGGTGTATACGAATTTTTATATAAGTATTCATCAAAAAATAGTTGACCATCTTTATAGTCATTAAAATCACGCTTTCGTGATGTTTCAGCTTGATCCTGAGTTTCAGTTTTCGTGTAATTTGTAATTGTGTAATTTTTATAGGGGTTTTCGTCACTACTATAGTCAAGAACTATTTTATCGTTTTCTATATTTTCTTCTATTTCTGGTTCTGATTCAATAGTAATTGCGGCTAGTAAATCGTTTAATTTATTAATCTGTTCGTCAATACTAGTCATAGAAGTTTGTAGGGTGCCATGATAGTTAATGGGATAGATTTTCTTGATTTATGCTCATTCAAATATTCTTTTATATCTTCAATTGTAATGCTTCTTTTATTATCTAATTTAATTATTATTTCTTGAAGTTTAATAATGATTTCCTTAAGATCTTCTACCGGTAATACTATTTCCTTAGAATTTGGAGTTGTTTTTCCCATTGCTATTTCTCTTTGTTTTATATCCACTATTATATTGGTAATTGTATCCTTAGCGTGTTCTAAATCTGAATATATATCTTTTTGTTTTTCATTACCTTGATATTCTAATATTGATTTTAATTGCTTATTATTGTCTTCTAATATATTTATTAGATTTCCTTGATATTCATCTATTTTTCTTCCTAATTTTTCTAGTTTTATCGAAATATTTTCAGTAGCCATAATTTGTCTATAAGGTGGATATTAGTTCAGCCATTTTGGATACGAGTTAGTATCTGCTAACAAAAGGGCTTGTTAGCATTTTAACTTTTGGGTCTTTTCTCTGCTTTCCGATTTTGGGAGGAACTAACTGGTCGTGAGGAGTTGATTGATCCTTCGTTGAAGCCACTGTTGCCAGGGGGAGAGCATGCGGCCAGCTGACTCATCTGTTGAAGAACATAATGGTGGATTTGGAGAAGCACGGTGATGCCTAGACCATCGAAAAGTGCCTGTTCAATTTGGTTAAGAGAATTACCACTATGTTGAAAATAAGATCGGCAATTGTAGTAGTATTAGTCACATCGTCAAGTTAAGGATAACTAATCTTATTACCATCTGATTGTTATTGTTACAGATCATCAGTGAAACTCAACATTCGACATGTTCCAGAGATCGCCATAATCTTCATGAATAGATTACAAAGCTACAATCATATCCCAGCTACAATACATCATTCCATGGCTTTCGTTGTTTCATGAAATGCAAACGTGCATTTGGACAATCGGGCTTAATCATACTGCTGTGCAGCGTTAAAAAACTACAGAAGCAGAAGAAAGGCATGAAAATGAATCTGATACAGCTATGTGGATATTCTAATCGTTGCCTCTCTTTATTCACAGAAAATGCGAAATTCACCAGTCCGGCTTGAGGAATGAGGGAAACATTGGAACTGTAAAACTGAACAATCTTAAAACTACAACAGCACAGATACAATATTAAAGCTGACACAGCTATGCAGGGACATCTGTTCGAGCCAGAATTCTTTAGGAAAATAGAAATACCGCTTGAAGGAAGGAAACTCGAGGACATCGAAGCAAAAAACATTAATCATCGTCTCCCTCTGCAAGAATAAAGGTACTTGTAAGTCTATATAAGGTGTATGCTTAATAGAGAATATATAGATCAAACTGGATAATCACTTCCAAGTTCCAAGTGATATATCAGTCAGTAAAAGACACCTCTTATAGTGGCATGAATAAACATGCAGAAAACCAAGGATTAGGAATGAAAGAGAGTGAACATCTATCAAATACATTCTGGTTTCAATGGTTGGATCCAATAAAACGTCGATCAATTACATCTCCATGACATGTCTAGGGAAGTAAAATGAAGCATAACTTTACTAGTGATATAGATAAATGAAGTAAATGGCTAAGCTGGCGAGATGGACACTTTAGCAAACATTAAATCTAAATCCATTAGTAAGGAGGGCATAAAGGGGCTAGAACAAAACCTTCCTATAACCAAATGTCTCCCGACAGGCGATAACTGAGGAACAGAAAAGGTAACTTAGAAATAAAATTGAACATTCAACACTACAATCAGACCATTGAAGGAGAATCAAACATCAACTATCAAATTGGAATCAATCAACTTTCCCTTTGTTACACGTCTATTCATCTTTCTTGTACCTAATCTTACGAATAATTCATTAACTCAGTAATAGATACATGATTCCAGTTACCGGCTAAGTTTGTGAAACGGACTCTATAGACAGCACTAATAGCAATTCCATTAATCAAGGGATCTGCCAAAATCTTCCTATCACCAAAATGGTCTCGATTAAGAAGGCAAAAGGGCAAGTGCAGATGAAAAGGAACATGCTAAGATCTAAGTTTGTGATGGGAATAGTTGAAGAAAACAAGAGAAGCAGGCGGTCAAAACGCCACAAGCACGATCGTCCTTTCAGCTGATCACGTTAAGTTTATTGAATGAGACCAGTACATTTATGTTCTACATTGCCCTACATCTCCATACATGCATACACAGTCTTGCTCTCATGTCATTCAAAAACCAAACCATAAACTCGGTATTAACACCTCTAATGAGAAACCCAACAGCATAAATGACGAACATATTCAACGAACGACTCACATCGAATCAGGCGGGGTCTCTGACAGAAAACCTAATTCCTCAATTGAAAAAGGAGTGAATTCCCAAAGAGGCGTGCAAGAGAGTAAAAATGTTGAGAAATGGCTGAAAGGGATAGAGATGGAGGGAAAGAAGATAGAAATGGTACCCAGGTAGCGGCGCTCGTTGGCAGCTTTAGCCTTCTCGAGCATCTTGTCGAGGTCCTGCTGAAGTTTTTCGTCCCATTTCACAAGCTGGTTCACAAACACCACCCCCAATCCCATTCCGACGACATGCTCCCATGGATCTACAGGGCTCGAGAAAGCAGTAGAGAATTCAACTCTCCCGCAAGGTAGGAAAGGAAAATTGAAAATGGAGCGCCCAAAATCTCAAAATTAAAACAGACGAGACAATCAACACATACGGCGCATATAGGGTAGCTTTCGCAGGGCATTGGAGTACATCTGGGTGCCCAATCCCAGCAGGGCACCGATCATCGTCGCGCTCCACGCCATCGTCTTCTTCTTCTTCTTCTTCTTCTCCCCTTTTGCCACTTCTCGCTGCCGGCAGAGCTCGCTGTTCTTGTTCAGTGATTCCTTTACATTTTCTTCTTCGTATCGACGCACATCAAAAGGACAAAAACACCCCTTGATCTTCCCACACGTCAGTGGTCTTTTGCTGTGGGCTTCCCTTTCGATGTTGAAATAAAGAAGCCCAATTGAAAATTGTAGCACTCGCTGGTAGAAGCTGATATCCGGCCTGTCTTTTTTTTTTCATAGATATTTTCAAAAACCGCAGATATAGTGTACAAAAATGAACTTTTTTCAGGCTGAAACGGAAAAGAAGGGACACCCATCGACCAACGTAATAGAGCATTTTGGCCACGATATGAGCAGCTCTTTAATACCTATTTGGCAAAGGCTAAGTGATTAGCTTAATTTCCAACCTTTGTAGGGTGGAAGTCAAGGACCAAGCCCTTGTGGCTTTCAGATGACTACAATGCAGCAAACCCTGCAAATCTATGTTGTTGACACTAATCCTTGATCAGTTTGAAGCTCTCCCGATTGCCGCTAGGGGTGCCAAAGCGACAGTGTCATTTGCTTATGAAGTTGTTGTGGAAGAGCAACGTAGCTGAAGGAAAGACACCAAAAATGCACACTAAGCTATGAAGTCCCTTCAAAACAAGCATCATGTAACACCCTAACCCGGTCGGGTATTAATTTTACCAAAATACCCTTGATTAACTGAAAAAAATACTCAAGAACCATAAACGTAAAAGCAGTGGAAATTTTTTCATAAATAAAATACTCAAATCATGTTCTTGTAGTTCAAAGCAACGTCCTAACACTTGGGCAAACTCAATCCTTAAAATCTGAACTCTTAAGCATAAAATATAATAACTGAATAGTCTCTAATGCTACTGCTTACTGAAAGCCTTGACTAGGCATCCCTAGTGAAGCTTGTATTGCCCTCCTCTAGCTGGCTGCCCTCGAACTATTTCTCCCGAACTCGCTGCCCTCTAACTACTCATTTAGCTCCTCCTCTTCCTCTTCAAACTGGTGAGTGAGTTGAGATCAGTATACGCCTTTACGTTTAAAATATCTAGTACTTGAGCACTTTACTTAAAACATTTAAATTAAACTGGTGGGAATTGTTCTTACTTACCCTTTTTACTTAGCCTTGAACTATTTTTTTAAGCATCTTACAACCTTTAACATATAATGGGCATCTACCTCGACTTAGTTGGTGCCACCACTTGCCTTACTTACTTAACCATGACTACCCTCACAATGGGGTGCCCCTTAATATGAGTTTTGACTACCGCTTTACGTATCACCGTTCGGTGTCAAAACTAATGTATGTCAACCGCGTTATGTATCGATGTTCGGTTTCATAGCGAAAACTTGGCAATGGAAACTGCGTTATGTATCGCCGTCCAGTTCCATGTCCAATCAACTACTGCGTTACGTATCACCGTCCAGTAGTGATCCCTCATGAACGTGGCTAGCTAAGCGAGGTTACTTATCTAGTTCTTACTTATACTTTTTTCTTACTCTCTTCACGTTAACTTATTTAAGGTGCTCTTAGACGTCGTAAATACTTAAATAGCAAGACGGAAACTTAAATGCTTAACGTAAATATTGATATCCCCAAAACAATAACTCAATCGAAGCATGCATAGTCAAAGACAATCATAAATCAAATACTACACATACTTTACGTAAAACAAACACTTAAAATACCGTAAGAAGTACATGCAAATTAAAGTATATAAAGTACTTTGTTTGATTTATGGCATAGTTGATTATCTCATGTTAACTTTAAGACTAAAAAATATATGTAAAGAAATGGTCTTGTAGTTTGTAGTGATAACAATATAGATGGATGTGAAATCTGTTTGCAAGCCAAGATGAAGAGAAAGCCATTTTCTAAGTTAGTTGACATGAATTCAAATTTACTGGAATTGGTACATTATCATATATGTGAATATCACGGTCAGTTAACTAGAGGAGGATTTAGGTAATTCATTACTTTCATTGAGGATGGTAATCAATTTATCTATTTTGATTTAATGCGAACAAAAGATGAAGCTTATGATAACCTTAAGATGCATAAATCTATTGTCGAAACTAAAAATGGCAGGAAAATACAAATCCTTCAAAGTGATAGAGTAGGGGAGTATTTGTCCAACAACTTTAATGATTTTTATGAGCTACATAGTTTTGTACATCAAAGAACTTCTCCATACACCCCACAACAGAATGGAGTGGAAAAAAAAATGGAGTTCAATCTGACATGGTTAGTGCCATAGTTAGTAGAATGCAATACGGGTAAGTTACATATAAACTACGTATGAGTATTTTACTTTGTCTTTAAACTAATAGTACGTTTAATAGTACGTCAATAATTATAAAATATATAAATTTAATTATTTTAAAATAAATAAATATAAATAATAGTTAAATTGGCAACTTAATTCCTTAAATACAAATATTAAACGTATTATGTGAGTTTTATACGTGTTTAGTACGAGAGCTATCAAATCAACGGGGGAAAAATAAACGACTTGACAATGATACGGATACAGAAGTTTTAAACGAATAAAATACGTACGGTTATATATACATGTGTTAAACAAAGTATTTACTAACTATGGTTAATGATATGTTGATTAATGCAAGTGCTTCAATCAATTTGTGGGGGTAGGGCTTTGCTAACAGCCTGTCATGTACACAATAGAATTCTGTCTAAGAAGCTAAAGGAATCTCCCTATGATTGTGGAAGGGAAGGAAACCAAACTTACCCTATCTTAGACTTCAAGGCTGTTTTGCTTTTATAAAGTCCTAGACCCCAAGAGAACTAAGTTGGATTCTCGAGCTTTCAAAGATGTTTTCTTGGATATCCAGAAAATCGGAAAGCCTATAGGGTTCTAGATTTAGAGTCTAATGTGGTTTTGAAATCAAAGGATGTTGAGCTATTTGAGAACAAATTTCGACGTAATTATGCAAATGTAGAACCATGTGGAGTTACTTCTACGGATTCCACATGTGTATCTATTTTTATTCTCACTTTTGACATTTGTTCTAGTAGTAAAAGTTCTTTAGATGATCCATGCTATTGAACCAAGAAGAAGTCAGATGACTAGGAAAGAAAATAGTTTTGGTCAAGAATTTATTGTTCCTCGAGTTTATCTTTCTTGTAGTGGGAGATAGGTTATATAAGGTTAGATGAAGCATACCCATTTTTTTGCATGTGCAAAATTATTCAAAATATTATCAAGTAGCAATGGCTTTTACAAATTCATCTTTCTAGGTTGAGGTTGCTAATGATGAGATGGATTTGTTGTTGATTAACAAGACTTGGTTTCTTTTGGATCTACCTCAAGGATCTAATGCCATTGGAAATAATGAGTACTTCGGACTAAAGTGTCGTTTGCTTCATGGATTTTAAAAATGAAGGTTTTGGTTAAAATCGGGATTTTATAAAACCATGGATATATGATGGAATTGCCCCATTTGGTTTTTGGTTCAAAACATTATTTGCTTGTTGGACTTCATGATGGATTTGGCATTGTTATATTTGTGGTTGTATTAGGAACTTACCTTAATGCCCTTATTGAGTATTATTTATTTTTACATTATAATTTTTGTTATAAATCGATTTCACATGTGTATCTATTTTTATTCTCACTTTTGACATTTGTTCTAGTAGTAAAAGTTCTTTAGATGATCCATGCTATTGAACCAAGAAGAAGTCAGATGACTAGGAAAGAAAATAGTTTTGCTCAAGAATTTATTGGTCCTCGAGTTTATCTTTCTTGTAGTGGGAGATAGGTTATATAAGGTAACATGAAGCATACCCATTTTTTTGCGTGTGCAAAATTATTCAAAATATTATCAAGTAGCAATGGCTTTTACAAACTCATCTTTCTAGGTTGAGGTTGCTAATGATGAGATGGATTTGTTGTTGATTAACAAAACTTGGTTTCTTTTGGATCTACCTCAAGGATCTAATGCCATTGGAAATAATGGGTACTTCGGACTAAAGTTTCGTTTGCTTCATGAATTTTAAAAATGAAAGTTTTGGTTAAAATCTGGATTTTATAAAACCATGGATATATGGTGCAATTGCCCCATTTGGTTTTTGGTTCAACCCATCATTTGCTTGTTGGACTTCATGATGGATTTGGCATTGTTATATTTGTGGTTGTATTAGGAATTTACCTTAGTGCCCTTATTGAGTATTATTTATTTTTACATTATAATTTTTGTTATAAAGCTACTTTCATCCAATAGCTTCGTCCCACTACCATATTCAGAACAAATGAACATCATTAATCAATAACAACTTCATATTATACACTCAATTAGACAATTCCCTAAGGTTTTCAATATTGCAAAGTATGCTTGGGATCAACAATGTAGTGCTTGCGTGCAATGAATAATAATGAATATTGAATGCAAAATTAATATGCACTACAAGTTGGTCATTGGTAAATGAAAGAGGATAAGTGGTGATTAGTGAAATAAGTAGGGTTAAAATTATAAAAAGTCACCATGGACTTTGTACCCCAACACAAATTCCACCTCTTGGGGTGGAATTCTCAAATCGGGTCCACGAATTTGAACCCTCAAAGTTCGTGGCCCCCACGAATTTATTCCTGCTAAATCCATCAAGCAAACGACGGATTGTTTACAAAGTCCATGATGCTTAGTTTTTACATACCAAATTCATGACGAATTCCATGAAGCAAACAATGCTGAAGTATAACACTGATGTTTTCAATACATACTTTGGAAGCTAGATTGGTTGCAAAAGGGTTTAGGCAAAATGCCGGAGTAGATTCCTTTGATACCTATGCACCAATTGAAAGAATCACTTTCATGAGATTCCTTTTAGCTTTGCCTTCTAATTACAATCTGTTTGTACACCAAATGGATGTTAAGACGACATTTCTAAATGATGAGTTAGATGAAGAAGTATACATTGAAAAATCAAAAGAGTTCATTTTGCCTATAAATGAAGGAAAGCTGTGTAAGTTGCTTAAGTCTTTGTATGGTCTAAATCAAACACATAAGCAATGGATAGAGAAATTTGATTACATTGTCTTGGCTAATGAATTTTTTCATGACTGGCGACAAGTGCATTTACTCAAAGTGCACGAAAGAGTATGTTGTCATTATACGCCTTTGTGTGGATGATATGTTAATGATAGGAACTAACATGAAGAGAATAATTAACAAAAAGTATCTAACTTCATGTTTCCAAATGAAAGATCTTGGAGATTCGATACTATCATAGGCATCAAAGTAAATAAACATAGTGGGGGTCTTGTTTTGTATCAGTCACATTATGTTGAGAAGATGCTTAAGAAGTTTGAATATTTTGATATAAAAGAGGCTAACACCCGTTATGATGCTTATTTTAAGATTTAAGAAAGTACTAGATACTTTCATCAATTTGTAAAGGTCACAAATACTCTGAAGGCAATAAGGAAACTCGTCATTGATAATGGAAAGGAAATAACATAGATAAATTAGATTGCGGATGAGGTTGTGCTATTTTACATAAGTTTGTTTGGTTTAGTGGATGCTCAAGTTTTTCCCTGTTGTAAACAACTCGAGACTCTGGTGGTCAATAAATTGAATTAGGTAGAGAATGAGATGCTTTGAAGAACCATAATTGTTGTTGAAGTATGGGGTTCTCAAAGGGGAATGAGAGATTATTGGTGAGGATGTCACTACAGGTGTTCTTGTATTTCTCAAGTTTGGTCGGCTGCCAGGTAGTGTAAATTCAAAGGATGTCACTTTAATACCTAAAGTCTCTTCTGCTTGTCATCTTAAGGAGTTTAGGCATATCTCTTGTGTCAACATTCTTTATAAAATCATTGTTAAACTCCTTGCCGACAAGCTGAAAAGTGTCTTGCCTATTGTTATTAGTGGAAATCAATCTGCCTTCATAGCACGGAGGAAGATTATTGATAACATATTTATGGCTCAGGAACTTGTTATTGGATACAACAGGAAAAATCTTTCTTCTCGATGTGCTATAGAAGTAGAACCCATGAAAGCTTTTGACTTGGTCAATTGGGAATACTTATTATTGATGACTGATAGTAATGGGGTTTCCAAACAGATTTCTTTATTGGACAATTAAGATAGCTAGAATTAGAATTAACATCAATGGTGGTATTTGTGGTTTCTTTGGGGCATAGAGGGGAGTGAGGCAAGGTGACCCCCTTTCACCATATCTCTTCACTACTGCCATGGAGGTCCAATATGTTTTATTAAATAGTGTTGCAGCTAAAAGGCGATTGCCATTCCATCCTCTGTGCAAGAGTGTAGCTTTCACTCATCTGTGTTTTACATATGATATACTCATCTTCACTAAGGGATCCACACAAGTTATTAGTAAAGTCCAATATATCTTGACTGATTGCTACACAATTTCTCGTCTCAAATGCAATCAACAAAAATGTGAAGTATATTTTGGTGGTAAGCTCTCCTCGGTAGACACAAATAAACTTGTTGAAAGAATTACACAAAGGATCAACTCCTGGCGTTCCAAAAAGCTTAGCTATGCAAGTAGACTACAGATTATTTCATTAGTTTTTATGGTTGTGCTTCAGTATTGGATGCAATTCTTCCTCTTGCCAAAGAAAGTGTTGAAGAAAATTCAGGATGTATGTTCACAATTACTTTAGCATGGGGGTGCAGAAGGTAGAGCCAAAGTAGGCTGGGATAGAATGGCACAACCTCAAAATGAAGGGGGTTTAGGGCTACGTGATATGTATTCACGAAAGCCGGCTTATTCAGCTTGACTACTTTGGTTATTACTGATGCAAATTGGATCTATATGGGTAGCATGGTTAAAACATAATAAGGTAAGGACAAGTTGTATCTAGACTATAATAGTGAGTACAAGCAGTTCTTTGGCCTGGCAACGAGTTCTCAAAATAAGGTAAGTGCTACAGCCTAATTTCATAGTATATAATTCTATAGTGTATTGGGATGACAAGTCTATGCTTTGATACAAAGTTGCAGCAGTTTGGGAAGCTTTAAGGCTTAAGAGTAGTATAGTTGATTGGGCAAGACTTGTTTGGCATAAGGGGTTTATACCACGAAATAGTTTCATCTCCTAATTAATCATTATGGATGGTGTAGTTATGAAAGCAAAGTTGTTAAAATGGGAAATCATGTGGATGGTTTGTGCTAGTTCCGTCGACAGAAGGTGGAGAATAGGGAGAACATATTTCTTCAGTGTTCCTTCTCTCAACATGTATTAGAAGCTTTGGGGTTCAGAACAGGCACATGGGAGGAAACTCTAAAGGCTAGATCTGATCTATTTAAGATGAAAACTGCAGTGGGGAGACTTGCTAATGTGATGTGGTGCTCTAGTAGTGCTACATTATGGAAAGAACGTTGTCACTAAGTGCATGGAGAACCACCTAGGTCTGTTGATGGCATTATACAATGGCTTGTTAGGGATTTGGTGAGTCTGAGTAGGAACAATATGCAGTTGCAAGCACATATAAGGAATGTGAGAATTGTAGAGGATTAGTGGTAGCTTGAAATACCTTTTTTTTCTTTTTGATTGTAGCCCTCGGGGCTGCTCACCTTGGGCTTTCCCTTTTGTTGTAATTGGTTTACATTTGCAACTTGCAAATAGTTTGAGAAAAGAGAAGAAACTGATTCCATGGAAAAATTATATTAATTAAGTTTATTCATAACATGTGTTTAACATCTAATATTACAATATGGAATATCACGTAGCTATAGTAACAATATTTACCAAAATTCATATCGATAATCAATCAATATACTCAAATATGGTCAAATTGCAAGTTTGGTGGCTAGAATTACTTAAAAAGTTCATGTTTGCCACTAATATTAATTTATTCCATCCGTAGTCACTTAAATTACGTTAACATATCAAGTTTGGTCATTGGCCATTAGCCTCTGTTAACTTTTGCGATGTAGCAGTTAACTCTTATTGTTGACCGTTAAATGAGTGACGTGGCAATCAAAAAAATAAAAAATAAAAAAATTATTTTTATTTTCCACCTAATTATTATGATAATTAAAAAAAGAAAACATAATTCATTTAATCATTATTTTCCACCGTCGTCGTTACTCTCCCCTCCGCCGCGGATACTGGTATCGATTCCCTTCATCAACCGGTAGCCGGCCCATCCGGATCCTAGCACCACCACTCTCGGCTTCTAGCTGCCTTTGGTGGGCCCAAGTCTCTATAGTGGGTAGGTGACTGCGACAGATGCGGTCGAGGACGATTGTCGATGTCAGGGGAGGCTGCGGTGCCTATGCTCCAGTTTCGAAGTGTGGGTAGCAACAGAGATGCGAAGGCTACTCGGGCGGTGGGAACAGTTCTGAGTGGCGAAGGCAGAGGCGAAGGCAGCCAAGATTTGGCAGTGGCGAACATTCGGGTGAGGATACGAAACCAGACCATGATTGATCTCGAAAAAAGGGTCAAGTTAGGGACTCAGGATTCTAGGATTTTGGACGTAGATGAGGATCTGTTCCTTTAATTATTATTATAATGAAGAAGAAGAAGAAGAAAACGCGGGAGGGATTGAATAAAGACTCAGAGATTGGCGGTGGAGGGGAGAGGAACGACGACGGTGGAGATTGAATAAAGGAATTAGGATTTTTTTAATTTTTATAATAATTAGGTGAAAATGAAAAATATTTATTTTTTATTTTTTTAATTGTCACGTCACTCATTTAACGGTCAACTATAAGATTTGACCGCCACATCACCAAAAGTTAACAGAGACTAACGACTGGTGACCAAACTTGAACTGTTAACCTAATTTAAGTGACTACGGATGGAATAAATTAATTTTAATGGCAAACGTGAACTTTTTAAGTAATTCTAGTGACCAAAATTGCAATTTATTCACTCAAATATTGCGGAAACTAAAAATCCAAACCCCACCCCTACCAATGCAACTTTGTCTATTTCTTGTTCAAACTTCCTCTAACTTCACTTACTAAACGAATCCACCATACCCCACTCTGTAACAGCTAAAACCCTCTCCCCTTTCGACGTCTCCCTTTTCTTGCTCTTTCCATTCTATTTTTGTTCACATACACAAATTCCATAACCTCCACCATTTTCACCTTCTGAATCATCTGTTTCAATTTGTTCCAAAATGTACGTTGTCACTAAATCAGTTCTCCTAATTATGTTTCATTCCATTCTTAATAAATGTAGAAGAATTTTTCTCCTAAGAATAGGAAATTGTTGGACAACAAATTGTGGTAGTCTAAATAAAACATTCCACTGTTATTTCATTCTATGGGAATTTGTGTGGCTATGTTTTTCCTCCATTGTTACTCATTTCTTATGCTTTTTGTCTGAAATAGAGGGTGGGTTATCTTGTTTTAGATTCTTTGAGGTGATTGAGTTTCTCACCAATCTTCCCCACCCTCAAATTTTTTGGTTTCCAAACGAATCATGCCAGTAGCGAACAATTCTTCTAACCTCATTTTTCGAGTTTCTTGAAAGGAGGAACATTACACAAGGGTCAAAAAAGAAAAGAGAGAAAGAGTTTTGGATGGCGTCATCACAAGTTGAGAGGGTTGCATCATCTTCTCCATTCGCTTGTGTTCTTCGCGATAGGAATCGGCCTGACCGATGCAATAGGGAGGCAAACAACGCCAATTCCTCTAGAGCCGCTACTATCCAGAAGAATCTTAAGGTTTTGGTCAGAGACCATCTTCATAATTGCATCTCAGTATCTCCTGATGAGAATTCCCTATCACAGCAAAATAGTGATAACTTGGATTCTGTCACCATTCCGAGCAACAGTCGTAATAGCCCATCAAAAAATGAAATAGGAAATAACAACTCTTCTTCTTGTTCTTCAACCCGCATGAACAGCCGACAAGCAAGGAATTTGGACCGTTGGGCAGCGAAGCAGGCAGAGCAAATGGTATCAACGATCGAGAGGCAGAATCAAGAGGCTGAGCTTTGGGTTGTGGCATCAAGCAATCCATGCTCTTCTTCCAATTCGAAGGAGCCCGAGAATCGTGTAATCTCTTCCCAAAACTCAATAGCTGAGAGTGAATGTTCCTCTAAGAGCCAAATTGGGGCTTCTTCTCTCGTACAAATATGGGAGGCAAGGCTGAATCAACCTAAATCCAATCCTCAAATGTCACAACATAGCAGAACTAGTTCTGTTTCCAGCCTCGACAATATTAATCTTATCGAAGAACCTTCTAGGCATTCTGATGTTTTTGACTCAGTTTCTAACAACGATTTGCTCACCGACTGGGACTCGACAGCTCAAAGCACAACTTCAACCATAAACCGCCGTCATTCTGATGTTGGTTTAGACAAGGAAAAGGTCAGGATTGCGGATATCATCAGACGTTTGACGTGTGATGTGCACGATCATCATGATCCTGGGAATGGCAACAATTGTGATACCCCTAGAAGGACTTCCACCAGTTCAGAACCTTCCTTTGAGCATAGAGGAGGATGGCCGCTAATTGTGAACTCACCAAGAATTCGAGGTCGGCAAGCATTTCATGATTTGCTTCTCCACATTGAGCATGACCGCCATAAAGAGCTTGGTTCCCTCGCTGAGCGCCAAGCTGTCTCAAAATTTTGTTACCGTGGTCGCATTCAGGTAAATCCCCTAAATTCTAATTCAAAGATATATTTAAAATAATTATTTTTTTTACTATTTCATAAAATTTTAATTTCAGTGAGATATATAAATTATATTCATTAACATTTTCACAACTCTCAAAATACAAAATTTTCCAAATATAACATAAATGATTTATGTTATTATGAATTGTTGCAGTCTCTATTGAAGTTGAGATTTCTAAGGCGTGATGTGGGGGTTCAAACTCGACCAGTACCAGTACCACCAACATGTAAACCGCCACAACATAGTTCTAGCATTATGCAACTCAGGTAAATTAACTTTTTTTTTAATGTGAATGAAGGTTTTTCTTTAAAAGTTGAGGGAGTAACTAATGAGAGATATTTTATGGTGCAATAACAAAGGGAGAGATTGAAGGCATTTCTTGAGCAAGAAAAAAGTGGTGGAAAAGAAGCTATTGCCCCAAAAAAGTCACCTAGACCAGAGAAGCATTGTAGACAAATAGACAATTTTTCGACCCAGCATCAATCCATTTCTGAGGGTAAGTCCCAAGAAAGGGCCCCACACACTGATTTGATGAGTACATTCGTCTCAGTAGAGCATCTAGAGAAACAAGAAAAGAAGTCAGGTGAGTGCCTAGAGCATAGTGAACTACCAGTAGAGGAATCTATTTTCCAAGAAAGTAAGCCTTTGTTGGAAAATCAAGATACAGAACATGAAGCTATACTTGTGACAAGTAATCAAGTCGAGGAGAAAAGAAACAAAATTGAGGGCCAATTGAAAGAGGAGGAAAATAAATTTTCCTTGGAGAAAAAAGAATTAAAGCGACACAATGAATTAGATAATATCCCCATTCTTGAGAATATTGCAATTCACAGCTCGATAGAAGCATGGCAAGAAAGAAACTTGGAGTGTGAAATGGAGTTAGAATCGATGAAGAACAAAAGCATACAACAAACAGAGGATTTGCATCATACTCCCATTCAAAAGGATATTACAGTTCAAAGCTCGGTAGAAGCATGGAAGGAAAGAAACTTAGAGTTTGCAATGGAGGATGATCAAGAGGTAGAAGCAAGTGATGATGAAGAAGAAGAGTATTTTGAGGAAGCTCCATATGATTGGTTTAGTGATATAGCTAAACCACGTAGCTATTGGGAAGACATGAGACGATCTTGGTATGATGAGATGCTAAGTAGTGGTTGTGGAAATCGAGACATAAAGGAACTTCTCGAGAGGTACAAATGAAACTTCACCTTATGACAAGATTCATATAAATTTCTCATGTTGTTAACAAATTTTGAAAAATAACCCGGAATGCAGGAAAACAGTGTCAAGCTTTCTTTCTAGTGAATTTCGGGAAAGGATTGATAGGTTGATGTTGTCTCGAGCCCATATTCAAGCTAACCAAGAACAACAGAGATCAGAGGCTGATGAAAACCAAGAGAAGATGGCACAACTAGCATTATCATACTTCCACAGAGAGGCTAATGAAGAAGATGATGATGTGTTTCAAGAAAAACAAAGTGATCGTGTTGAAAAACCTGAAGAACAAGAAGAGGTCGATGAAGAGACAGAAGACGAGGAATCAGAAGACGAAGAAGAAGAAGAAGAAGAATATTTGGATCAGGAAGAACATCAACAAGAGAGCTTAACAAGTCGGCAGTTTGTCGAAGCCAATGATCTTTTTGATCAGTCCTCCCAATCAATCTTTTCACCTTCTCCATTTAGATCATGGAATTATGGTGAAAGGCAAGATATGGAAGAGTATGATCGATTCTCAAATGCCGCTTCTCAGCTACATAATCAACCATTTCGGAGCAGTCAGGATAGAAGAAGATGCTCTTGCTCTACAAGTCATGCATTAATTGTAAGTTTAGTCTTTATTCACTTACTATATTTTGTACGTTGTTGGGGTATTAAAAAATTTCTAACTCATTGTACGGACATGTTCTATTTTCTTTGATAGGAGGTCGATGTGGTGAATGAACTAAGAGGAAACATGGAACAAATAAGGAGTGAAATGACAGATCTTAGAAAGCTAATGCAAAGTTGTATGGAAATGCAAATGAATTTCATGAGGTTGGTCAAGCACGAAATTCAACCAGATGAAGTGGGTACAGGAATAAACTCAACAAACTTTCAACAAGAATGAATGATGACTTTATGGCACAAAATGTGAAGCTAACAGAATGTGAATTATTTATTAACTGCATTGTACATGAGTCACATAAAGGGTTTTCCCATGGCCATAACCAGAGATGGTAGTGTTGGACATTGAAGAATCACACTTTCTTTCTATGCTACGAGGAGATAGTAGTGTATTCAATTTTGTATAGAAAAAAAGATTGCTCCTGATTCCTTAAGAAGGGAATTACAAACTAGATGTATATGAATGTTTGTTCTAGTTGGCAAAGGGTCAAACGGTTGGTGGGTAGCAAGACGCAATCACATTGGGAAGTGCACAATTTGTCGAGCTATAATTTTAGGGTGAAGTAAAAGCTAACTCAGACTCCTACAAAATTTGAAGTAAGAGAAGAAGGAAGTGGCTATGTATCATATAAGTCCGCTCATAAAGGAAATGAGTTCCTATCCCAGAGGACCTTCTGAATTTGGTTTTTATAGATTCCAAAAACTCCATATTGGCTTATATATATCATCTTCTAACATTAGTCGTATCTATTTGACTTCAGAAACCTCTCAATTGTATTTATTTTTACGCCATTCAAATTGATAACTCCTCTTGTATATATTCAAAGGAAACCAAAAAGGATATAAACTTGACAGAAGATAAATGAGATTAGGAAAACCAACTTACTTGTTTGTGTTCCCTTGTATGTGTATCATATGCTATATATATACTTGAATTTAGGCGGGCAACAAATTTATGATGAAATCTCTCGTTCTTTCTCATATAATTTTTGTATCCTTTTGAATGCGAACATAATCTTACAAATAATAATTTACATACATTAAATATTTTATAAAACTTAACCATCAAGGATAACTAAGATAATTGAGTTGAGTGCTTGGAAAGGTTTTCCCATATCTTCAACATCAACAATCTTCCATGTGGAGAATACTCTTGCGGTGCATATCTGAATGTGTTCTATGCTTTTGGTAGCAAGAGTTTGCTCTTCTTGTTTTGCCCTGCTGGAACTTCATAAAAGGATGTTCCTCTTTCGTCAGTAGAAGATGGACACAATTGAGGCCAAAGCCGGAGGAACCAACATGCATATCATTACCTTGCCTTAATAGGGTTAGGTAATAATGGATGTCCTTGTTGGGCCGGAGGTGGGTTATGGTATTCAAAGATGCCGCCTAAGATAACTCGATGACCATAGAAGGATGGTATTCAAGCCACTATGAGAACGAAGTTACCAAGGGTGGGAACCGACTTATGAACCAACTAAGGTCTATACAGAGTAAAATAATTTCTAAGACTCCATAACCAAATATGAGCACCCATGACCACTAAATTGGTACACCACCAGCCAAGGGGACCATAACTGGTAGAGATGGGATAATCTACAAGCAACGAGTGACAGAACTCCAGTGGGCGATCATGTTAGGTTCCCATGTTAAGAAGAATAAAATTTAGTAACGACCAAATTTCGCAGAGAAAGTTGTTATAAGAGTAGACCTTAAGGCAACTCGTTGATCATATGATGATCCTAGAAGCCATTACAATGTTGAAGTCGTCAATGAAAGAAGAATTCAATAAGCCACATCGAGCAAGTAAGCAAGATGAGGGTTGAGAGAGGGGATATCTAACAGGTGTATAGAATTTAGAAAGCTAGACATACAATGAAGGCATCAAGGGGAAAGAAATGGGTGAACCACTAGTCTACAAGGACCACATATGATTAGATGGAAGGATTTATAGGTCATGGCGTACAAGTTAAAGGAAGTTCAAATCCTCGTGGTAAAAAAAGAGGGTTCATCAAAAGCAGGGCTTGGAGTAGTCACAATGAACAAATTTTGAGGGTGAAATTTCTATAAGTGGGGAGAAAATGTGATACCTTGATTTTGATTTAGGTTCCCTACAACAACTATTGAAGGAGTTGAATCAACAAATCAAACCGAATTGGAATTGTGTTCCATCACACAATTGGCCAAGTTGCAAAATTAAAAAGTACAACGAGTCACTTAAAGTTACACAATGCAGCAAAGCTAGGTGAGGATACATGTTGTGGTCAAGAGGAAGTATAAGAAGTACAGTGAACTATATGAGATAAGTAACGGACACCATTGAAGTTCGCATAGTGACAAGGGCGGAGTTGGGATTTGGCGTTCGAGGGGCCAAATTTTTTTTGTACCGTTACCACATTAAGGCAATAAAAATCAATCAAGACAATCAAAATGACTAATTTTTCAGCCATATAAAACTGAAGATTGGTAAAAAAAAAAACTAAAGTTGAAATTAAATGAGTCAAGAAACAATATTGAATTTAACGGAATTAAGAAATCATAACATGAAAGACTAATTCTTTGAAAAAAAGCCTAAATTTGAAATTAAATAAGTCAAGAAACAATATTGAATTTAATGGAATTTAACATGAAACATGAAAGAGTAGAAAAAAACATGAAAGAGTAGTTATTTAGATATGTTAAAACTAAATGGAAAATTAAACTAAAATAATTGCAGGGATGGGGTATCAAACAATTCACCAATTGCCCCCAGTATATAGTTCCCACCCGTTGTACTAAATTGAATTTCTTTGTTCAAATGCGCACACTAAACATATTTGTATTTATTTTTAGTTTATACGAAATTTTCATAATACTGATATAATTTATACGTAAGTTACACCCCATCCTTTTCTTAGCCAAAGTGACAATTATGCCCTTGTTCAAACTTTGTCAAATTTCACCTAAATATCGATGAGGGCTAAAAATATGAACTCTCGGTTTAGCCTGTGTTGAATTTCGACATAAAATGAATAAGTTACGAAAGTTAACTGAGTTTTGGATTAAACTCACTCATAATTGTAAAGTTCCAAAAATATCCTTAGACTAATTAAAACCCTAGATCCCTTATCCACTCGGCCTCATCACTAAAACTAATAAAACTCTCGAGTTTATTCCCCACCTAGGGCTGTCCATTTGGTTTTGGTTTTTTGGTTTTAACCAAAACCAAACCAATTGGAAAGCTAATGGTTTCAGTTTTTTGGTTTTAAACCAATAAGCAACTTAATGGTTTTGGTTTGGTTAAAACCGAAAAACCAATAGAAACCATTAAGAAACCAATAAGAATAAAATTATTCATCAACAATTTTTTTTTTTTTGTTTCTTTTGACATGCATGCCAACCAATAATTTGTAATGGCCATTTACCATTATTATGACGTTTATTCAATAAAAAGGAGGGAAATAAGAATAAATATGAGTGTATGAGTACATGTTGATTTTTTGGTTATCCAAACCAAAACCAAAACCATTAAGGCCCTTATTGGTGGTTTGGTTTGGTTAACCAAACCATTAAGTATGAAAAACCAAAAACAAAACCTTATTGGTTTTTGGTTGTCAAAAACCAATAAGGGCCTTAATGGTTTTGGTTTTTGTTTTTGGAATTTGGTTTTTTGTTTTTGGTTTTTCATACTTAATGGTTTGGTTAACCAAACCAAACCAAATTGACAGCCCTGTGGACCCCACCCGATGGAAACCTTCCGCACAGAAGAAACAAGCAGGGAGCTAATTTTTCCCCAGCCGCTCTCAGCCAAGTAGCATTGCCGCTTGGAAACCTTGACAAATCCCTATGATTGCACCGCCTCGAAGAGGCTTGTCCGCTTGCACCATAAGTAGTGGTTATGATTCGAAGAAGCAGTGGTGAATGATGGAGCTCGCAATGACCAACGGTATGGAAACCAGGCAATCCAAGAAGGTAACGTTCTATTCTATTATAATTGGAGTTGGAGTTTATTACTCTTTTTGTTCAAGGTCGTGATCAGTGTGTGTCTTCTAATGGACTCAGTACGAATTAATTGGGGTTACACTCAATATTTGCACATGTTTTGCCCACCATTTTTGTACGGTTTTAGGATCGATTTAGTGATTTAATGTGATTTCACACAAGGTTGTGCTTTTATGTCGTCTTTCAGAACCTGGAGCGCAAATGGAGGCTTGAGAGCGAGTTTCGGGTCAAAAGCGGAAAGTCGGTGAAAAGTGGAGCTGGAAAAAAGAAAACCCGGTCAGGCCATCCAAATACCCAACCGGGAATACTGAGGGAAAACCCAATGTAGTCAGAAGTGCGTTTCTACGTAGAAGCGTTTTGGTGATCTAGAAGCGTAAAACCACAAGTTTTCAAGGTTTAAAGCGCGTTTAGAAGCGTATAAGCATAAGTTTTAAGCTTTAAAGCGCGATTTTGACTACATTGGGTAAATTATCCAGGACCCCCCCCCCCTCCGTGCGGTCGTGGAGCTCAAATTCCCGATCAGTTATTTCCCCTCGAGACCATGTATTTTCCCTCGTTGACCATGTGTTGCGAACCGTCTTGGATAAAACCCGATCGGGCCTCCAAATACCCGACCGGGTATGCCGGACTCAGGTTGTTACAAGCTGAACACGGGAAATTGGTTTCCATTCGATCCTTGGAGTTGAAAATAAAGGTTTAGAGAGAGAAAGTGACGAAGAGAGAACCTAGAGTGCCCTAGATCAAGTCTTCCCACCATTGGGGCTCGATTCAAGGCTTGAGGAGTGACGATTGACGACATGGAGCAGATTTCTTCCGATTGCATGATGATTTCTACTTTCGGCATAACTTTCCATTCTCTTTATTGAGTAATCCCCTCTATCACTTGGGTATGTAAAAACCCTAGATTGTATGTTAAGAAGAGTTGTATGAAGCCTTGGCCATGAATGATTAACTGATTTATATCCAATTGAGCTATTGATTTAGAATTGCTTGAGTCTTTATCAAATTCTAGTGATTCCTGCTTTGACGTAAAATGATAATCTCTGCATAGTTCAATAGAACATCTTGAATTGGAGGTAGTAAATCGGCGACTTTAGTCGAGAAGTCGATTCACTGCTTTGTAATGGTGTATAACCCAAACCCAATAGAGAAAGTTTGAATCTTATTGCCTCAGTTAGCTTACGTGAGTGGAGGTTAGTCGCCCGGTGGGAATTCAAACCGAGAGGGTCTAGAGAACTTTATTAGTCGAGACTCTAGACTGCTTGAGAACTTTTCACAGTTTAAACACAATCGATCTGACTTAGGTGAATTACAACTTGGCCTAACTGCGATCTAGGGGGACTCATACCTGTGTTAGCCTTCTTAATCTGAATACAACAATTACTTGCTTTCTGTTAGCTTTTGATAAACTTCACTCGAACTGAACCGCTAGATAATAGATATTTAAGGAGTAGACAGTAAATCTAGGACCCAGGTTGACAAGTAAAACTGATCCCACCATACTGCATTTCCATATTGCGATTACACTTGGTCGTAGTTTAGAGTTGTGTTTTAGTAAGCCAGATACCTATGAATTTGGAATACCATCAAACTACAAGAGGTGAGAAGCATCCTCTGCAAAAGCCCCATGAATTAAGTCAAAACATGAAATCAGCCCAACCTCCTTGATGAGATCGTAAACAATGAGGGA